TTAAAAACTCTTTACTAAATATAAACAATTGTTTATAAACAATTAACAATAAACAATTATTTTCTTTGTAAATAATTTTAGCTTAGTAAAGGTTCTGAACCTTCATTTCAATATCTTGAAGATGCTTTGGAAAGTTCTGCTTGCAGCTAAAAATGACTAATGAAGAGGATGTTAAAAATATAAAATTTTTATTGTCTGTGGCCTATAAAACAAATTAAAGATCACACGAGTCACACAGGGGACCAAAGAAACTATATAGGTACAATACATTACAACATGCATTAGAAATAATGTCAGATTTCATACCGACACGCAAAGAATGGCACATAACAACAGTCATGTATACATGTACAGATTTCTGGTGATCAAATCCTGTTATAGTAAGAGCTTCACAACTTCTGTCTTTATTATATATAAAAGCCAGTCTGATTAAAATCAAACCTTTACTAGCTCCTTTTTATTTTGTTTGTCATAAAAAGAGCTAGTGAAGGTTTGATTTTAATCAGACTGATATAAAAGCATACACTTAAAAGCAATGTCACAACATTAATAACTGTTAATATTCAAGAAGCACATGCACACTGAGAGTAAATGCTTTTGTTACAAGATTTGTGTGTAAAATCAAGCATTTGTTTCCTTATTTTTGAGCTTCCATGATTAGAAGACATGACAGATTTTCTCCACACTTTAACACAGACAATGTCTATGGATTGACATTATGTAGCTCAGTCTGGAGTGAGAGGGGGGCGTACAGGACACAGTCTGGGAACCAAAGTCACAGTCAGACGCCATTATCATGCAAAGAGACTGCAGGAAAAAAGTTATGACATAAAATTCTACCGTTTTTTTCGTCACTAGTAGAGACCATGCTCTTTCAGGGCTGTTTCAAAAGCCTCATCCTTTAATACAAAACATATACAATTGTTTGATAAAAAACACAACGTTTAGTTTTAAATAAAAATATCAATATCTCAGATGATGGTCTACACTTTGACAACTTATTCTCATGATTTCACTGCTTGTTCTAAATCAATGAAACAAAAAATAGCTGGCAGTAATAGAAAACTACTAAGTGTACATATATATTGTATGTTAATTATATATTAAGGTTATCCGATCCTCAGGTTCTAAAAATCAGGCATTGAGTAATTGAAAATACTCACAAAGATGTCTCTAAATTCTCAAATTAAAATGTATTTACCCACAGTGTTTCTTTAAACTTCATCTTTAAATTTAATCATATCATATAGGGAAAATTAGTAAATCTCAAATAATTTTTCAGGAAATGCAATTTGAACTACCTACTGCATATTTTTGAATTGATAATTGACCAAGAAATACATTTTAGGAATAAAAATCGTAGGTATCCAGGCTTTTAAAGAAAATTGCATGAATTTTACACTTATTTGGTACTTCACTTTCTCCTACTTACTTCCATCGTTTCATAAGGCAAGGTGTATGAAGTGTTCCGTGTCAAAGAAAACACCGTAAATCACTTCTAATTTCAAATCATGCTTATAAACATTGGTAACTAAGGCTAAATTAAAAGAAATTTGATTTTTTTTAAATGTGCAAGTTTTACTTAGTTTTATGAGGTACAAATGTCAACGTTTTTAATACCGATTGTTAAAACTTTAAAGAACATTGAATCATAAGTAGAGACATAAAATGAAAATTGTTGCATGAAAAAATTTCAATTTCAAGCTTTATTTTAAGACTTTTTGAATTAAATTATAAATTAAAGAGTTATCCTTCCTGGCTGAGGATCGTATATCCTTAAATGTCAGAATTTTTATTTCTTGGAATAGGTGATATAAGTAAGCTGCTTTACATATTTCCATTTACTGAATGTGCCTTTGTCACACTAAAAATTTATACTTGGTTTCATGGTAAAGGTATATAACAAGGAAATTATCATATTCCATCAGGAATGGATATTGACATCCTAAACCCTTCCCCCTCCCACTGAAGACACAAACAAACGCTTGCTTAATTCTTTAAGAAAAATACAAACCTCTTTTTGAATCACAAGTTATGTTAATGCAATAAACTTCAGCAAACATTGTCATTATTTCAAATCTGATTAAAACCAGATCCTTTGATCCGCTCACATAGATTGCTACTCTTGTGTACTGATCTTGTGTGAACGGATGAAAGGATCTGATTTTATTCAGATTGATTCTTTCCTCTCTAAATTTACCATGAAAGTCTAGAATTTTGAGTTATTCATTAGCTACTGTCGTGAATTCTATTAGTTTAGTTATATGTATGTACATGTTTTCATCTTGAATATCATTTGTAGTTACAGCTTTCAGCTATAGTCATACAGACTTACCATCATCTAGAAACTCATCAACCTTACAAGAAAATGAATTTGGCATTTCACAATAAGAATATCAATCTACATTTGTACATAGAAATTTATTCAACAGAAAAATTTCTAAAGCTTGGTTAAATTAAAATAAGTACCCTTTTTCTTGCAGTCTCCTTAACAAAACTGAGTCCAGAAATAAGTCAAGGTCATGTACTTTTTCAAAAGGCAGTTTGTTTACAAAGGTATTACAAACTGCATTTTACATCCTACCCTTTTTTCTAAGAAGAAATTTCCAATCACTTGCTCCCCCACCCCTTACCCCAATATTTACCAAATTTTGATTTTTTTTATGGACATGTGTACTTCAGACTTTACCGTGATAAGCAGTTTTCTGTGGGTTATGTGTGAAGAGAGAAAACTAACTTCTAGCAGCAACACTAAAATGGAGGGGGGACCTAAAAGTTACAGTGAGAAACCTAGCATTTACAATGGGGAATCAGTTATTACATCACCTACTGCTGTTAACATGCATGCTCGTATTTCAAATGGATGTCGATAAATTATTTTCCAAATAAACCTTTGAAGTAAAACAAAGGGTAGATTATACATCATTGGTACTACATACAAAATGACTTTATGTAATAATCTTAATTACTCTTCTTGGATTAAATCTTCCTTTATCAGTAGACAATTCTAAAACTTACTGGAATAGATCTTAAATCAAAAATTAGTTCCAAAGGGCTTCAAATGCATAAATAACAGAACATGTACCAGTATCTAAAGTATTGTAATCTAATCATATCCTGTGACTGTGGTTAAGGTCAAGATCTAGTAAATAACTTCAGACTAGCTTTTTGGTGCTAGATACATTATGACGTCATAATCAATTTTAACTTTCTTTTTTCCCGTACTTTACGGCTTTAGCAGAATTATGTAGAAAATAGGTATTTTCATGACATTCAATTTGAAATCATATGAAAAGTAAACCGGATACCTATATTAAATTTGATATTGGTTTAAAGAAGAGGCCATGAACATACTAATTATCGTTTTCTGTGAGACTGTAGGCAATCTGGATACATTTCCTTTGTCGAATATGAAAAAAACTCCCATATTCATGACTGGTTTTCCTAATTTTTCATTGAAAATGAAAGTTTAAAATACAGTTTTTCATCTTGTTTACCTACAAATTATGCCCCGAAACACCTTATTTGACCAAGCTAAAGTTGCAAAGCATCATTAAAGGAATTTACTTCTCAAATTTGATAAATCTGTAGGCACCCTTCATTTACTAGATCTTGACCTTAAAAAAACAATCAAGCATGCACTTGTTACAATAAAAGACATGCAATATATTGTTTGTAAAATGTTAACATACAGAATATCAAATCAATTTCATACAATATCTATCTAATTCCAAGGCTACATTGCACTGCATAACTCCAATGAAATGAAAGTAGACATGTGATTCAGACATAAGATTACAAATGGAATTTTTGAGATATACATTCTTTAACTTTTCAATAAGTCCTCATTGACGCTTTGAGAAAATCAAAAGAACAAAAGGACAACTGCGAAAATTGAATTTTTGGCTAAAACCTAACTTTTAAACATTATGAAAAGATATTTACATACCTTTAAAATACATGTACATGGGAACTCACAGTTTATTACACCAAATTAGGGCTTAAATATGATTGAAAATATATGAGATGCTCTCCATGTCTAGATTGTACAGTGTATAATGGAAAAAAGTTTGTTTTTCTATGTGAGGTGTTTAAAAATGACTAAAATGTCTTATCAATACAAGAAAAGTTTGCTACATACTGAAACAGGCATGAATTGATAATTGTCTGAACAGATGTTTAAAGATCTTGAAATGAACGATTTAGAGCATGCCATCTCTGGTCTGACTGCTAAGTGTGGGGAAAAATAAAATGATACTACATATCTACTAGGTAGAGATTGCTTTGTCTTTATTGTTGTGTCACAGTTTTGCAAGAGATTTATATGGTCAAACTATAAACTAGAGATCTATATGGTAAAACTATAAACTATATTTTTTTTATGGATTGTGTCAAACTTTTTATAAAATTTAAACATAACAGTGAATAATTGCAGAATACTAACATGAAGAGTAGCTTTCTCTTGACCAAGACCAGCCATGTGTGCTATGACTATGATAAGAGTGTGATATACATGTACCTGCTTATGACTTACAGAAAAATAAAGATCTACATAACAGTTTCAGCTAATTTGTGATAGAATTTACAAAATACATCCTAAGAAATGTAAACATTAGCTGACTGGATAGGTATGAAATATGCTGACTGTAGTCAAGCTTGACTCACATTCTATGGTACACCATTAACAATACAATCTGTATTATGAGAACACGACCCACATTCTATGGTACACCATTATGAGCTGTACTATGAGAACATGACCCACATTCTATGGTACACCATTATGAGCTGTATTATGAGAACAGGACCCACATTCTATGGTACACCATTATGAGCTGTATTATGAGAACAGGACCCACATTCTATGGTACACCATTATGAGCTGTATTATGAGAACATGACCCACATTCTATGGTACACCATTATGAGCTGTACTATGAGAACACGACCCACGTTCTATGGTACACCATTATGAGCTGTATTATGAGAACATGACTCACCTCTTGTAGGAGATCCTGAGCAGCGATGGCTTTTAGGACGTTCTTTTTACTCGTTTCCTGAACCTCTCCGCCCAGCAGGAGCTCATCTAACATAAAGTATGCCTTCTCAAAATTAAAGATGATGTCTAGCTCACAGACCTAGAAAACAAAGGCCATTCCTTGGTTATTTTTAACTTAATATGTACTGTATTTGACCCCCCTTTCAAAAAAATCAGGGGTTTTAAAAGATCTTAAAATAAACCTATTGCAAATTTATTGATTATTTACAAAATATTTGGTTCAGCAAAACTTAAGTAAAAATACAAAAAGATATTTGTAGTACAAAGTTGCAGAGAGAAATAATCCAACAAAATAAATTTTTCTCAGTTTTTTTTCTGTAATTATTCATGTAGTTCAAAAGCACTTGTTTCTGCACTAAAAGTTTACCTTAAGTATAATATTAAAGAACACAAAATATCAAACTCCAAATTAAATGGCTTAGTGAGCTTACCTTATACTTCCATCATGAGTTTAGAATTAGATACCTTGTATTATACTTACACAATAAAACTATGAAATGTGTAGCTGTAAGTTGTCTTTACTACATGTACTTACACTTCCAAAGTACTTATCCAGTAGCTCTACATATCTGTGAATGATTTCTAAGGTGAGGAGTTCATTGTCTTCTGCCTCTATTGCACAGCAAAAGTACAAACTAGCATATCTGTAGGAGACAGCAAATGAGCAAGGTGACATATGTGTCAATTTTTAAGCGCTAAGCGCGCATGCGCAAGCGATTTATAGGAGGTCTTCAGATTTTCACGATCTTTTATTCAACGCCCTCTACCGACCGCATATATCAGGGCTGCATTCAATACCATAGTTGCTAGTAAACTTACACGTAGTTTAATATATGCTACATACCCAGTTGTTTTGAAAAGACAGCTCGTCTTCCCATAAGATGTTAAAATAAATTCTATTATACAATCATTACATTTATAACTGATGTATACGGAAAAAGCATGCAAACATTGAATGTATGTCACGAGACTTGACGATTAGATGAAGAACATTCCTTCAGTTAGTACCGGTATATACAGCATGTCGCGTGATGCAAAGTGTTATCCAAGTAGGATATATATAAGGATTTCAAACTTAGCATAAATATTTATAATGTATATTCTTTACGTGGCTGCTATTCTTGTTTAAATTTCGTATCTGTACTTAATATCCATCTAGCACTAAGATCTTGAACGCACCCCTGACGCGCCCTCTATAAATAATGATAGTTATGTTAACAAATGGGTTCTATAATGCCTTTGCAAGGACTACTATTGTTGACCTAAATTATCTCTGTGGTGTAATATGGTTCTTTTTAAAGGTGATTCTATATAAATTATATATTTTAATGTTGTATATTATGTTCTCAAAATGACGAACTATATTACGCGGAGTGATACATTATATAGCGCCGCTGAGTAAGTTATATAACTCTACTGAGTCGTCTAACAATCCCCGACCCTCTGTCCGCTACTTTAGTGTAGGAGTTATCATAATAGGTGTTAATTAGTATAGTCGATATTAATATGTACGGAAATCCTGCGTTAGGTTATAAGGGCGGTTCTTATCTCTGAACAATATAGCAATATGGTGCGTATTAATAAGTAAAGTGGCAAACACTCATTATGTCACAAATTTTGTACATGTAATCTCTGTAGTGGTAATTAATTCGAAAAACTAAATGACCATTCATGTTTATATATTGATACAAGTACCGAAAAAAGATTTATGCGCACATGTATTTAAGTCTCATTAAGCTTAAAATTTCAATGAGTATTAAATATTTAAATTTGAATTAAATCTTTTAGAAGTATAATTCCATAAAAATTTATTTATTAAACTAGCTTCTATATCTAATTTGTATCTACGCAGCACAGTTAAGGTTACAAAAAGGAGGCGGAGCCTAATTTGTACGGGAAAACTTGACTATGACATCATACACAATATACGTCATACAACATTTCTTTAAAATGCCACAAAATGAGTTTATCTGCTAATTTAACCAGTAAGAAATCATCAAACTACATAAAAACTTACTACTGCGTGTTGTTTTGTCGTTAGTTAAATCCCACATGACAAGTTATAAACAAGTCACTGATCGCAAAACACTTGTCGATATGACGTCATTTCTTACAACGTGACGTAGTTTGAATGCAGTGAGACACAGATCAAGTAATATATTCTCAACAAAATATGTACTTTCTAATTAAATAAAATATTATTTACAGATATTCTATGGGCCAATAACTTGAATTTAATGTCTTCTTCGCTATTTTATTAATATATTTTCTGTACATTACGTATTTAATTAACACTGCCGTATATTTGTATGCAAGTACATCGAAGGGTAATGTGGGGGGTCTTAATAAATCGATCTAGTGCAAGGGCATACACTCTATGGATCAAAGTAAGCTTTTACATTTCAACTATAGAACTATTAAGGTATCTGAAAAGTGCTGCGATCCTGATGAAATCTTAAAAACAATTTATTTATATCAATATTTCATGCCGCTGACCAGCAAAAAATATAGCATTCGGTCATACAAGTATAATTTTAACAATGAAATTGCAGAATATAGACAGGATCGCAGCACTTTTTAGAAACTACAATATGCGTTGAAAATATTTATATACTAAACTTGGAAATTTATCATGGGTATGCCCTTGCACTGGTGACATTTATATGTATCATCAATACTTCAAGTCAATGTGCTAAAATCGCGTAACTGCCGCATCACGTGACTAGTCTAAATATAAAATATAATCGTCCTCGATATGTAGTTATTAATCATAATTACAATTATCCGATATAAATAATGTACTAAAAATAATCGCCATCCCGATTACGAATACATTTTTAAATACAAAATTTAGTCGATATTTCCATTGCGCACCTTAACTGTACTGTGTACATTTTGTAGTTCCATTACATATTTTTTCACGCCCTCTTCTGCATAGGCCTTTATTTCAAACAATGTAAATCTTATACAAACGATCAGGATTTTTATTTTCACACTTGCATTACACAGAGGGCAATCAATTATAATGATTTAACAGCATCAAATTATCCTTTAGCAGTACAAACTTGAATGCATTTATATATTAGAGTCTATACTTGTTTTGTAGTTTTTATCTGTAACAAAATATTTTGATGCAAAAAAATCCATTTCACTGAACGATTGGGTGTTAAAAAACTGAAGCATTTTAAAGTATTTTCGCCAAAATGAGTTCAAGAAAAATAGGAACGAATTTGAATGTGATATTTTTTTCTAAGTAGAAGAGTTTGTGGTTGTACATTTTTATTTTAAAAAGAAATATTGTCAATTCTGCTTCAGATATAACACGAGAAACAGAATGGCCAAGCCTTATTTTTTTTAAAATTTCGTTAAAAATGAATTATAATTCATGTGTGTGAGAGTCAGAGATGAAGGATCACAGGTACAGAATCCCCCTTCATATTGTACACATGATGATAAGTGTAATAAATATAATTTGTGAAAAAAAATGTCCAACAAGCCCTGGGGTTGATTATATCGAGGGGGGGAGGGGGGGGGGTGGCGTGTCCACAATTATAAAGTCTTCGGGGATTTTTGTTACATGATGATAGCAACATGCTGCACGAGGTTGGATTGGTATCACAATAAATTTGAAATATTGAAAAAATATTGTTATCATATTATTCAAGTGTCAAAACAAAATTGTGGCCCCGTCCTACCCCGGGGGTCATGATTTGAACAAAATTGAATCTACACTACCTGAGAATGATTCCACATAAGTTTCATCTTTCATGGCCCAGTGGTTCTTGAGAAGATTTTTTAACCAGAAGTCTCTGTCGAGACTGTAGCTTTGTACTTATCAAAAACCATTGCACCATTTTATGTATCTTTGTGTAGTCTACTTGTGTGCCAACTTATTTTGAAATCAAACTAAAACTGTAGAAGGAGTAGCGTTTTAAAAGAATTTCACAGAAAATTCTATTTTTAGTAACCATGGTAACACAGTTCATCAAAATCAAAAACCGATGCACTATTCTATGTATCTTAGTGTAGTCTACTTGTGTGCCAAGTTAAATTGAAATCAGACCAAAACTGTAGAATGAGTAGTGTTTTAAAGGAATTTCACAGAAAATTCTATTTTTAGTAACCATGGCAACACCGTTCATTGAAATCAAAAACCGATGCACTAATTTGTGTATCTCAGTGTAGTCTACTTCAGATCTTTACCAAGTTATATTGTAATCAGACCAAAACTGTAGGAAGAATAGCGTTTAAAACGATTTTCAAAGAAATTTCTATTTTTAGTAACCATGGCAACACTGTTCATCGAAATCAAAACCGATGCACTATTCTATGTATCTTAGTGTAGTCTACTTGTGTGCCATGTTATATTGAAATCAGACCAAAACTGTAGAAAGAGTAGCATTTTTCAGGAATTTCACAGAAAATTCTATTTTTAGTAACCATGGCAACATCGTTCATCGAAATCAAAAACCGATGCACTATTCTTTGTATCTTAGTGTAGTCTACTTGTGTGCCAAGTTATATTGAAATCAGACCAGAACTGTAGAAGGAGTAGCGTTTTTAACGAATTTCACAGAAAATTCTATTTTTAGTCACCATGGCAACACCGTTCATCGAAATCAAAAACCGATGCACTATTCTATGTATCTTAGTGTAGTCTACTTGTGTGCCAAGTTATATTGTAATCAGACCAAAACTGTAGAAGGAGTAGCATTTTAAAGGAATTTCACAGAAAATTCTATTTTTAGTAACCATGGCAACACCGTTCATCGAAATCAAAAACCGATGCACTATTCTATGTATCTTAGTGTAGTCTACTTGTGTGCCATGTTATATTGAAATCAGACCAAAACTGTAGAAAGAGTAGCATTTTTCAGGAATTTCACAGAAAATTCTATTTTTAGTAACCATGGCAACACCGTTCATCGAAATCAAAAACCCATGCACTATTCTTTGTATCTTAGTGTAGTCTACTTGTGTGCCAAGTTATATTGAAATCAGACCAAAACTGTAGTAGGAGTAGCGTTTTTCAGGAATTTCACAGAAAATTCTATTTTTAGTCACCATGGCAACACCGTTCATAGAAATTAAAAACCGATGCACTATTCTATGTATCTTAGTGTAGTCTACTTGTGTGCCAAGTAATACTGAAATCAGACTAAAATTGTAGGAGGAGTAGCGTTTTGAAAAATTGTTTACAGACAGACGGACGCCGGACGCATTACTATCGCATAAGCTCTTCTGGTCTCTGACCAGTAGAGCTAAAAATGGCGTTAATTTTTCACTAATTCATAATTATCTCCCCTTTGAACAGGTCTTGGCCCTTCATTTTAACAAACTTGAATCCCCTTCACCCAAGGATACTTTGTGGCAAGTTTGGTTGAAATTGGCCCAGTGGTTCTTGAGAAGAAGATGAAAATGTGAAAAGTTTACGACAACGACGACAGACGACGGACAAATTTTGATCAGAATAGATCACTTGAGCCTTCGGCTCAGGTGAGCTAATTAAAGATGAACAAATAAAAAATAATATCTCATTTCTCCCTGTACACTTTCAAACACAATAGACAGATCACCCCTGCGGTCGATGATAACAAATAAAGTCGCCTGCAGCCAATTTTGAATTTTAGTACGAATAATATTCTTCATATTCTTGAAAGGAGAATTATACATTGTTCAAAATTTCATTAAAAGGGTTGTGTTCTCTACTTTACATTCAAGAGAAGGATATCAGCAACATTTTTTTTTTTGTATTCAAAATTTTTCACCCCCCCTCCAAAAAAAAAAAAAAAAAAAACAACAAAGAAAACTTTCCAGCTAATGTAGAGTTTAATACCTGGTCTGAAATGAGGTAAGTCAGAAGGAAAATAATCGGACTGCAATATTGAAATAAATTCAATTTTATCGCAGAAACCTGAATCCATTATGCAACACTTTGTTAATTTTTTTTTCATTTTTTAAGACTTTATTAATAAAGTAACAAAACTTGTAAACACTCGGTTTTATTTAACGTAACAGTCAAGGCGATCAAGAGGCGGGTTCAGTTGAACCATGCTTAGCGCTTCCCAGTACTTTCAGTACTTTGATTTACCTTATGATCATTAGTTAACTTCTAACATCAAAAATATTTATACAAGAGGCCACATGGCTCATAAACTTGAATTTACACAATTTAATGAAGACAATGTCATTGAGCAAACATGAATCATTTTCACACATATATATTTTATAGCAGGTTTGGTTAAAATTTGCCATTTGGTTCTTTAGAAGACAGGTTGAAAATGAAAAATAGTTTATAGACAACTGATGAAGCTGGAAACTCATTGATCAGAGAAGATCACTTGATCCTTTGGCGGAAGTGAGCTAAATAATAGATATAAGATATACTGAAGTACAACTTTAAAATCACCCTTTCCTGTTAAAAGTGGTGCAATCGATATACTGAATTCATGAATGAATTCGTAGGACAATCTTATCCTTGTAAACTGCAGAATTTAAACCCATCTAGTATGCAACAATCATGAATGAATTTGTAGGACGATCTTATCCTTGTAAACTGCAGAATTTAAACCCATCTAGCATGCAACAGTCATTGCATTAATATCAGATACTTTTTGTACACAATTTTGAGATCTTTCCACTCCAAGAAGCTACACATTTTGGGTTTGCGAGACAAGACCATGGCCACCAATTCTCTGGTAATTTTCTTCTTTACTTTATCTGGGTGTGCAGTATACCATTTCTGTAGTCTTAGCTTTCCCTGCCGACTAAACAGTAACATAAACTGCATCTGTAATACATCAAAATTTCATAATTAGTTGAGAAAAAAGTAATTATACAAAGAACTATATGCAGTATTACCGTATATGCACCCCAAAGGTCATATTTGGAAAAGCTACATAAATCTGATAAAAATCAATAGAATGTGCTGGACCTATTCATTTTTCAAGCTCTATGAGCTAAATCACTTACAAGTTTTGAAACTCGAAATAAATGTTCACAAAAAATCAAGTTCATGAATATATTTTTAAAAAGAACATATATTCTCCCCCAAATAAACCTAGATTTTACCATTTTTAAAAAAAGGAAAGGTGTTTCTTCTTTTCTCGCCTCTACGTCATTACTTCCGGTGTTCGCACTCACCATCAGGTCGTACTCTGCATATTCGTATTCGCACGCAGACTTGTGTCAAGATGTCAAAATCTAACATTTTTTTCCGATTCTGTTTTTAACACATCTTTTCATATTATCTATTTAATACAGATAATTTTCAGATTTTCTAAAAAGCTTGTCTAACTTGAGCAAATTTATTATTTTAAAAAATAATTTAGAAAAAATACCTAGAATCCAGCTCTACCATTTTCGGGACACCTTCTAATGGAAATAACTTTTGAAAGTCATTCATTGCATGATTTAGAGGGGGTTGGGAATATGGGGTCCTCTAACTCTGGATTTATAAAAATTCAAATACCTAAGTAAAAATAACGTAAACTGGATAATTTTATAACCTTCGAACAAATATTGACCACTTTACAATTAAATGAATTGGAAAGAATTTATCCAGAGGAAGAAAAACGACGATTTAATAAATAAGGATGTTTGGATGAATTGTTTATTTATCAAAATTATTTATTTATGTTTTGGTTAAAATTATTTATTTATGTTTTGGTTAAAATTATTTATTTATGTTTTGGTTAAAATTATTTATTTATGTTTTGGTTAAAAAAAAACCCACCAAGTTTGACTGTGACATTTGTCAGTTTATTATGCCCCCTCCCTCCCCCGGCGGATTTATCTGTATACTGACCTGTTTACCGGTCACGGAAGGCAGTGCACGATATGTAAGTCCGAAATATCTGACGTTTTCCAGTTTTTTTACTTGTCTGACGAGTAAAATATCAAAATATCCAAGAAAAAAAAAAGCCTGGAGAACGTCGTGCATATAAAATTTCGGACTGATTGTGGATGTGACCGATAGACAGAGGATGTATACATTGGGTGCTCTGTTTTCAGAGTTACTCACTCATAGTTTGTACTGTTTTAGCAAATTCTGAGAAGGATCATTATTCTTTATCTCTGTGTGGACACCCCCCTGTCGGATATTGTTTCATCCGCATTGTAATGCGGTGATTTTTTTATTCAAATTTCGCACAAAACAGCGTTACTTAGACGTGTAACAACACATGAATGAAATAATTATCTGTTAAACAAACTATAATTTAATTAATTAATTTACAATTTGTGTAATACTCAGTAACATGTACAAGGAAACATGAAGATAGCTAATAGGATTCAAGATCAAAATCCATTGATTTAAACAATACAATTCGGGGGCAGAGCAAACATGGACCAATAAATAAAAACAACAGAGGTGGGATTAGATGCCACGGAGGAGTGAGCCTTCTGTGCGGACCGGTCACAACCTCCATGTGTTTCTTATTATGATCAATAAGAAGGAAAGGAAATCTCAAGTTCAAGTTCTTTATTGACTTTGAGCTTTATAGCTCTGTGGCAACGCACTTTGAAAAAATTACGCACTTTGAAAAAAAATTTCAAAGTGCGTTAAAATTGGGACAAAATCAACGCACTTTGAAAATTTTTTTCAAAGTGCGTTAAATCTGGGACCAACTCAACGCACTTTGAAAATTTTTTAAAACTGCGTTAAGAGTCTACATCAATATATTTTACCATGGAGACACTTAACGCACTTTGAAAAAAAAAATTAAATCATATTTTAGTAATGGAAAGATTTTATTTGTTTTTTATCTTTCAAAAAACTTATGAATTGATTAACTCCCGTCGAAAAAGGAGAAGACAGGTATAAGATTCCTCAATCCAAATCTTTATCTTTTGAATACATAAGTGTCGGTAACAAACGGGGGAGGGGAGCAATAAACCCAAAAAGGGTAAGCTGCATTTTCAATGCTTATACGATGTATATATCTTTCCAGAATAATTGGGGGGCTAAGCCCCTCCTCCCCTGGCCCATTGCCCGGTCTCGATGTCTATGCTATACTCAAAACATTTATATAATTATTTATCATATACTTAGTAGTAAATACACCGATTCTGCACGGTGTGATACGGGTGACGTCACAATACCCCATATCACGGACCAGTCCGAAAAGCCATATCACGTATCGGACCGGCGGGCCGAAAATCCATATCAAACCGGAAGTAACGTTTGTATTAAGTTTAAAAGTTAATTTACTTGATTTAATTTAAATATTCATATAAAATTATTCTTTAACAACATTTGTGGTCTTAATTTTTTTCCAGTTACCTAATAGTTGGCTCTATTAAATTTTAAAGAAAAATGTCACTAACAAGCACAAGCATTCTTCAACGACCATATGTGAATTCGCATATTAAGTATTTTAAATATATGATAAATAGAATACTACATACTAAAATCCATATCATATGTCACATCAACCCTCGGGCCCCATATCAGCCCTCGGGCCTTCGGCCCTCGGGCTGATATGGGGCCACTCGGGCTGATATGACATATGATATGGATTTTAGAATGTAATATTCTCTATGTATTTACCTAATTGTTATGACGTTGAAAACTTTCAATATTAAATGAGTTAATTAAAACAGATGAAAACTAGAAATATTGAAGTACAGTAAAACGTATGAGAGAGAAAGAATTTTTCATTGTTTTGAACAATCAAATTGCCCCCTTTTTATTATGATAAATGCTAAGTTGCTTTAAGATGTCCACTGTTAGTGCCCCCTTTACACCTTTACATATACTTATCAAAGACTAGAATTTAAAGAAAAGAAAGAAACGAATTAATGATCTTAAACAATCGTCACTCTTTTTTTCAAGACCCTTTTCCCTTTTATTTTATCAAAACCTCAAATGTTTAAAACGTCAACTTCTCAGGTTCTGAAGTGAGTTCATCATAAAAAAGTCATCCATCCAGGATCTGTTATTTATCATACCGATTATTTGTAAGAATATTGATCAATCTACATTTTTTTTCAAAGTGCGTCAATATGGTCGATATCAACGCACTTTGAAAAAAAATTAATTTTTTCAAAGTGCGTTATAGCTTGGTCCCAAATTTAACGCACTTTGAAAAATTTTTTCAAAGTGCGTAATTTTTCAAAGTGCGTTGTAACATAGCTCATCAGTTCAAACAAAATAATACAAACATGACTGTACAGGTTTACAGGAGAATATGATAATTATGAAATCAGTAGAAATGGCGTGAGTAATTGCCTGACAATTAGTTTCAAAAACATCAGTCAGCATTTGACTTAATGATAGGTTTGCATTGTTGACAAGGTCGTGTCGACCATAAAAACTTCAAAAGAGTCGTTCATATCCTTGTTTTATCAACCCCTTTAACAATAACTTGCCTCGTTTTAGATATTTTTCACACAAACAACATTCCCTTGCATAACGAATCAACTGAGCGACAGTTATATACCCCATATGCATTTGATATTTTAAAGCGTGTGTTTCATATTTGGATATTTTACTAGAAAAAGACCCAAAATAATGTAACACAACATCAAAACTTTAAGATAAACGTGATTTCAACTTTTCAATGGTCAACTTCAGTCACATATAGCAATATTTATTTTGCTTATCACCTGCGTATGGGGTTTTGTCTACCCAGTTAATTCGACAAGCAGGAGCACACTCTACGTGAGAACACTTTCTGAAACGACACAAGCCAAAGAGAAATAAATTGATAAAACAAGAATAATCACTGAGTCGGCAAAGTTATTCTTTCATTTAGTGAAATGTACATTGAGGTTTTTATATAAATTGTCAGGCTGTTATTCCCATACTCTGATTTTTTAATTATTTATTTATTTAAATTCAATTTGACAAAATAGGTATGTGTTTGTTCTACTCCTGATTTGTATTTTTTAGATTGTACTTTTGAGTATAATTATACTTCAAACGCTATAATATACCTTTATATTTTTTCATTATAGTCTTTTTCATTATAGTCTTATATTCATAATATACTAAATTCATAAACACTTATTCATACTATTCGTATATATAAATCAGACATTTGCCATGAACCCCATATTTTCCTGCAAAACATCTCATCACATTTCATTTGCATGTCAAATATTGTAAAATGCAATTCTACTTTCTAGATAGCGGAGTTTTATTTGTATGGTGGTATATATCTGCTCCGATATATAGCTTACTTTTGTACGGATTATATTCACGTGCATGATAGTTATGTGAACAATATGTCAAAAATGCAATTTATTTACGTACTGTATTCAATGAAATATATGGAGATAAAGAACAGTATTCAAGCTCAAAAGTCCATGTCCATGTTAGAGACCAACTGTTTTCAATGTCAACTTCTCTCAGTACCCATTTGTCATATTCAACACTACATTTCCCTTAAATCACTTTCCTGTAGTATAAAGTGGGGTGGGTGGGGGAGGGGCAACCAGCCTTTCGATCACTGAACATTTCCAATAGTAAAAGTAATGTTGAGAAAAAATGTGAGGGGGAGGCAGGCCCCCCTGCGCCCCCCCCCCCACGTGCTACGTGCCTGTATCTAAAGTTGAAGGCCTCAGCAAGTATAACATTTTCTTCTTTTCACATATATCATTTTACACAAATTCATAAGAATAAAAAAATTGGTCTACTATAGAATAACGGGGCGCCATTGGTACCCACATAACTACTTGTATTTGGCATGAATCTTCGATATGTCGATTTGACGTACACAGTTTCTCTGTTGAAACAAAAACTTATTATTTTCCGATCGTTTTTAGCATACTTTCGTGACTGAACATGTGATTTATTGAAAATGTTGATTGTAATCTGAAAAATGCAAATTCTACATTTTTAAAATGTGTAAACCATCAGTTATAAATTTTAATATTATTGAGGGGTGGAAATTTGCATAGGAACAGTCTAATCCAGTCAATATCTGTTGTACTCTATACTGTAAAATCACTAATTCTCGAGGGGTTTTATTTTCGTTGGGTTTAATTTTCGTAGTTTTCGAGGCATGGAGAGACCAATGAATTCATGACCACAACGAATTGTAAAATTTAAATATGCATTGTTACAACGCACTTTGAAAAATTACGCACTTTGAAAAAATTTTTCAAA